GAATGACCGAATAGCTTCCTCGTACTGAAAACTGTATCAAGATGAATGACATAAAACATACAATGTGGAAGTTGAATAAAATCGTTTAAAGGAACACGTATGACGTCCAAAAGCCTAAAATTCATAGAATGTTATTTTTCTTACATAGATGAGCAACATAAAATAGAAAGATATGCAAAAATACTTAAGAAATATACTTGTCATCAGAAATAAATTAAAAATCGTGTTTTTTTTACTATTTTCACTTGATTATAGTGAAAAGCGTTGCAACGAATATAAAGGTTATTTTATAAATTATAATAACTATTCTGGAAAAGGAGTAAGCGAATGATTTGAAATACTTTGCACACATTTTATTGGTATAGACCTATTCAAATGTTACAAAAATACTTCTAGTCCCGTCATGTCAAAAAAAGGTCTCTTTAATGCAGACAATAACATACCAGTATATCTATGCAACTTGACATCAGTTATGTTTTTGGTAGATTTTTAAATCGCACATACACTGTCAATGTTATATGATGACTTTCCAACTATACTGGTGGAGGAATATCTAATTTCATTTATGTATAAATACAAAAATCAAGTTCAATATATATTCCATCTCCAGTATCAACCGCTTGTCTATGTTGTTGTTTATTTTCAAAAACTTATATTAATGGTGTCAACAATAAATTATCATCAACTTTTCTACCGAACAGCGACAGTGACCCATTATTTGCTGACCTGTTCACATTCTTGTACGGGTCGCAGTTATTGCGTCAATAATTATGCAAAACATGTCATGATCATTTCCATATAATATTAACGATTAACAACAAATCAGAATTTTTAAATATTGCGTTACGTTAAAAAGCTCAATATTAACATAATTTAAATTAATGCATACATAACTGAAATATAAATCATTGTTCATGATCCATTTTCTTTGTTCATATTTTACCGCATAAATTTTAGACTCTATACGTTTATTATGGAATAGTACATCTATAGTTGGCATGTCTTTTTCGATATCTGTAATGATCTGCACCTTGCATTCGTGTCTTTCCATATTTTATTCATCAAACATGTTAAATAAACGACAAAAATATATTCTATTCTCCATTTATCAAATATTCATTGACTAATCTTCTAATGATAGGCGGCTATGATTTGGCGATAATGTTGTGCCATACTTTACTGCAAATATACAATAATGCGTTCAGTTTCTCCCGTTTCGTCGCATTCAGAGTATTGTTGAAAATGAATAATGCATTCAAAAGCTCAAAAGCAAGATGACATAAATGTTATCTAACCTGATGCCACGAGTGGCTTGTCATAACTACAGGAGTTATTTTTTTTATACTGATGTCCACACTTCAGGGACCCCCTTTTACGTTTTTTTTTTAAATTATAGATTTGACTTCGCTTTTTTCAAACAGATTAAGCCTGATGATTTTGAATAATTTGTTGTTTTATTTACACTGATTTATTTTAGGATAATTACACGAAAAAAAATGTGTAACAAGTCAATACAGAGGATTATGTTATGATATGGTAAATTTGATTCGAATTCTTAATGTTGACGTTTTTAAAATCCATCATGGAACAACAGGAACATATCATATCCACTTGCATAACGTCATTTGAAGACATCTGCAGTTGTGTCTAAATTCAAAATTAGACCATTTTCATTTTGAAATGTTGAATGCTATTTACACCGTGGGTAGGTAATTTTTGATTATAATACTATACATCAACAGGCTTAATAGAGCCTTCAGTTCAATTGTAAGGCATTCTTCGGGTATACCGTTTTCCCCTATTTTATAATAGATCATGTCCTGCATTGTTTACGTAATAAAGTCATCATCTCTTTCTTTATAGTTTAGTGCTTTTATTTGAAAAATATTTTCGCTTTCAAATGACAAACGACTTAATACAACACTGAAAATAAATAATTTGTAACGGTATCAGATAAGTAAGAAACAAATGTCGTAAAATACGGTTTTTTGTGCTACAAAATGTTATTTTTTTCCCTTTTGAAATGTATTTAGTATCTAAAATGAAAAATTTGATGACGTCATTATTATAATAATAACAATCGAATCGAAATAGTATAAATTGTTCGCCCACAATGATTAAATTATATAATTCAATAGAAAAGGATAAGAAGAACATACACGGTGTGTTTGTCTTGAAGCATCTGTAACCATTTTTCAATTTAATAGAAATTATTAAATTACTCAATTACCAGCATTCATAAGCGAGTAATCAATATAAGTTACAATGACGTATCAATGAAAATAATTATTCTGCACTGAACGTTTTTGCATCTCTTGATTCAATAAGGAAATAACGTACAGTTCTGCTTCAGCATTCTTGTTGAAATGTATGATAAAAGCTTCTGACAAGGAAACAATACAAAAGCAGTTCGCGATGGAATATTTTTATACCATAGTAAGCCGGTTCGTTTTATTCAGGCCCCCTGCTGTAATGTCAGATTATAAGTAATGGAATTTACTATTTTGACACAAGAACCAATCATTTACAGTACATGTGTCTATCAAATTGTATCAATAGCACATATTTTTGTAATGCCTTTGCTGAAAAAGAATAGCAACAAGAAAATAAACAAGGGCATTAGACAAAAAGAAAGGAAAGTCCGTCGTCAAGGGTTTAAAAAAATATTTATTCTCTCCTTTTGTGAGAACGCTCCTTGGTTTGCCAGACACAATAACGAGACACAATTAAGACAGTAAGCTTATCGTCCAACTTTTCACAAGACAAAACGTTTTAATTTGCCGCGTTTCATGTCGCGGAAGCATTATCATTTACTGGGCTAAAATAACATGTCCTTATTTACATAATAGGTAGAATATGTAATTATAAATGACTTGCTTTTGAGATATCTTGTGAAGATAAGGAGTAATTTGCTCGAAAATTATTTATTATAAATGAAGATTGACTGTGTTTAAGACATTTAATGATAAAACCTCGGACATTTAGCAAACTATATTATCTAGTGATAAACATGTTAAAATGTCATCACCTTTTCATGAATGATAGTGGTAATCAAATCACCGATTTCTGCAGACATGCTAATATCATTTTTAAATCAAGGATGGAAATTGTCATATTTTCGCATTCGGTTTAAACAAGGCATATGTATCGACAAACAAGAAATTCGTTACATTTTAATATCTATATTTGTGCACAAGTTATATATAGAATTTAGATTTCTTTTTGTTTACAAAAAACACAAACACAAGAAAAAGAGAATAAAAAGAAAATAAATTGAATTTCTATTTGGATACGTGTGTTCGATTTTCGTGCTATTTTACTTTTTACTTTTGCGAATGAAAATAAAATGAAATAGTAAAGTCTGATCAATTATTGAACCATTTATAGATTGATTTAGACCATAATGACAGGTATTGTAAGTTATGAAATGTATTGTCAATATGAGTTATAAGTTAAAATAGAGAAAATAGGAATCCCTGAAGAAAGCCCAAAATGAAAACATTGAAAATGTTGCAGGCTTGGTGTGATTGAGCCTGTTCATAGACGGTACCGCAAGTGCCTGCATATCACAGATCATAAGTCAAAAGACAAATTTAAAAAGCAGGCCACATATCCAGTATTCAAGTCAGAAATACTGGAACCACCCACCAAGAAATGGTTGAATTAGCCAATTAGAAAGAACTAAATTACAAGCACAACAAAAATGTCGTGCGAACGATCATTAAGGATCGGAAATAAAACATAAGACGACTTTTTACAGCCTCCGCACTGCATAAACAACGCTGATAAAATAGAGAAAATAAGGACTCCTAAATAAAACCCAACACGGCAAAATTGTAAATATTGCAAGCTCGGTTCAATTGAGCCTGTTAATGGACGGTACTGTCAAGTGCAAACTACCGTCCACGCCCCCTTGCACCGGCTTAAGCAGTATTCAACATTTAACATGAAATGTTACAATTTGGAATTTTTAATCATCAGCAGATGTGTTCATATGGCGGTTATTATGAAACCTTCAATATGACACGTAAGTGCCATTCCATGAAAAGCGGCATATGATCCCCAAGTAAAAAATAATGCGTGTGCCCTAAACGAGAAAACAATGATCTTTTGTTAATTGTAAATAGCAGAATACCTTTTTTGACTTATTATATATTAAACGTAAAAAGTTTAAATATATATAAAACGATAAAAAATATTCATTCTATTGGCAGTGAGACTACTTCTGATAGTATAATCATTTCGCAAATTTAATTTAAACAGCAAAGATTGAATTGAATGTGAAAGATCAAGATAATATCAAAAATGTAGTAAAACTACCGCACAGCAATTATCAAATTGTGTATGTACTCGTTGAAGTACAACTTAACAATTTTTTTTAAAGAATGACTCCATTCTTTCATTTTCTTTGTTTCACATCAACAAAATCACTGTGTCCGCAATACATCTAAAGCCTTTTAAGTTAAATGTGCCTACTAAATGCTTTTTTTTAAGCTAATGTGTTTCATTGAGGTAGCATACTCCCTAAATCTACCAATACAAGCCTATACATATGTAAGCAATTAACATCTGCATTACTATTCTTTCGTAAAGATTAACCAATTCATAATGATAACGCTTTCCTATATCTTATAGAAATAATAATTTGCTTTTATTATTGTGCTTGTTACAAAATGTAAAAAAATAAAATATAGTCAAATTAACATGATAATCCTTTAGGAATAATAAGCAACCCCTACATAACTGAAGCATAAACCTTTCAAGCGTACTATAGGACACCGCCCACATTAGCGACTAGATCAGCTATCATGTAAGAACATCCTGGATAACATCGTTTTTTTTCTAAGATAAAGGCAATTGTTGTTCTTTGCTTAAAATGATAACATAGCAAGATACCTTTAAAAAAGTAACTGTTAGCAGTGGAAATTCTTTCTTCTTGCTTAGAGAGTGTTTTCGTTAATTCATTAGATGTTAGGACCAATTATACTATCGGTAACATATACATTCACTTTATTCTTGCAGCTCGGTATTGATAAAGGCAAGCATTACATACTTAACGGATTTAACCGTTACTGGCAAAATTCGCAATGTTGAATTGGATACATAAGGAAACATTATAGTGCTTCATGTTATTTAACTAGAATAACTCAAAAGTAAGTACTAATCTGAAGTATATTTGATTAATTTTTTTTTGCTTAAATTGACGGAAACACAATACGAATAAAACATGCTTTTTACATAACCAAAAACACATGGTGGGTATTTGAAGAACAATATTAATTGTAAAATATTAATACACTCTAATTGCAGACATTAATTTGCTCCATAATAATAATAAAAAAAATAATAATAATAAAAAAAATAATAATAATAATAAAATAATAATAATTAAAAGCATCCTGTTTTTGTTTGGGGTCCACTTTGGCTCCTTGCCACTGGTTCTTGTTGCTGGGTCGTATGGAGGTTGCGTTCATTGAACGCCGCCTTTCCTTATTGATCTTGTTTATCATATTATATGCCATCATTTCTATAGTTCAATTAAAACACAAAAGTGCAAGAACTAAAAATAGCAAATTATTTTACTAATTTCGAATTTTGTCAACAACAACATAGTTATTATCAAACTAATTAAATTATTTCTTTGAATAAATTTACTATGTTCGAAGATAACACTGGACATTAGTTTTATTTTGATAATTTATTCAGTTAATAAATGAAAATAAGAAAGAACAAACGTGAATTTTCAGTTCTGAGAGCATTTTGATCAGCTTAATGACACTTACCTTAAATTTATGTTTGCTTTAGCGTTTTAGATATCACACAAAAGTTACTTTACAATAAAAACGTAAGACATGAGACTAAACTTGAAGACTTCATGATTGCGATGATTCATTAATAACGATACACTAAGATTTTTATACGACAGGTTATTGGCAAAAAAAAAATATACTCCACACTACGAGGTTAAAAAGTGTATATTTTGCTCTTGCCTTCAGTATAATAATACACCTGTGAAAGTATTAGTTGTTCTTAAAATAAGTAGGACTCATAAACTCTTTACATTTTGCCTTGCTTTTATGTGCCTATTACAGTCTTATTAAATGAAAGATTAATTATGTCAATTATATATATATAAATATGTCATATGAAAGGTTGAAATTTCCAAAAGTGATTGGTCGTGTATGAAATTCAATTATTTCATAACATATGCCGAGAATTCGTTTCTCAATGACTTTTATATATAAACAATATACCTGTTGTTAAAATTTTTAGATGGTTTCTTTAAAACTTCAAGTTATTCAACTGTTTAATTATTTTATTAAAAATACTAATAAAAGTTTCTTCTTGTAAGAAGTTATTCAATTAATTTAATAATAAAAAAAAACAATAAAAAAACGTAGTCACCTTAATAAGTGATACGTTTTAGTTTATTGTTATTGTTGTTGTTGTTGTTGTTGCCGTCGTCGTTGTTGTTGTTAATTCCACTGAGAGTAAATTGAGTTTTCTTTCCTGTATGTTTTCGAACCGCTTCTTAAATTCTGTTTTTACTAGGATTCATATGCGAGAATATGTAAGCAATATCGTGACTTTCTATGAAACAAACATATTTATAAGACCAGGGGCCGTATTCATAAAGAATCTTAAGTGAAAATTTTCCCCTTAACTCGAAGTTTTCCCTTATGCATTTTGTTTCACGTGACATTTGCTACATAAGATCATTCATCATGTTCATGTATAGCCGGATTTTGGCATGATAAAAAATCGCATTAAGAAGCAAATATAACGTTTTCCTTTGAGTAAGTACATCAATACACCTGTAAAAAGAAAAGGTTATTTATAGTGTCCTAACTATAAAGAGACATAACTACGAATGTTCAAATAACATAATTCAAGTTATTAAGGGTTTTTGTTCATTACTGGAGTATAAATTCGTGTTTCTATTCAATGTAAAGGAAATGAATACGAATTCATACTTCAAGGAATCCGAAACACCCTAATGATTTCATCAGTTTCTGTCCTGATATGAAATAGATAAATACAGAATCCCTAAAGAAAGCCCAACGCGGCAAAATTGAAAATGTTGCAGGCTCGGTTTGATTGAGCTGTTCATGAACGGTACTGTCAAGTGCAAACTACCGTCCACGCCCCCTAGCACCGGCTTAAGCAGAATTCAACATTTAAACATGAAATAGTAAAATTTTGAATTTAGAAACATCCGCAGATGTGTTCATACGGCGGTTATCATGGAACCTTCAATGTGACACTTCCGTGCCATTCCATGAAAAGCGGCGTATGGTCCCCAAGTAATAAAAAGCGTGTGCCCTAAACGAGAAAACAATGGGCGGAACTAAATAAAATTGAATTTTGAAAGGGGATCAGAGGTTATGAAGCCTGCGTATCACAGATAAGACGTCAAAAGACAAATTTAAAAAGCAGGCAACATGGTGATCCTAAGGGTGATTCAACATGATTCAAGTAGGAATATTGGAACCACCCAACTAGAAAATGCCGAAAAGTACTGGGAGACATTTTACAGCCGCCACACGGCACAAATAACACGGATGTGATCATAAAACAGATAAATACAGAATCGACATTGTTCTTTAATCAGAATAATACAATGATCAATTTGTAATTCTCTGGTAGTCCCTTAACTAATTCCATAACATAATTATAACATAATTGACGGTTTTATTGAAGTTTGTCAGAGCAAAAGTGACGAGTTGCAGGCAATGCAGTTAAATGATATAAATAATCTATTCATGCTCGATTTCTTTGTTTCCAAGTTGTTGATCCGTGGCCATAAAAATTACCTTTGGGTATTCATTGCGTGCATGTCATATCATTTTCTATTGTGTCAATGAAGGTTGTCTGATTGAATTTTAAATCAGAAATGGGTCTGTCAAACTCAAATCACTTTTACATATACATGACAATTTACATAATGTTATCTTACGTTAATGTGCAGTAAAAAGGTATGGCACACCTTTCAAATAACAGGTGATTGTTGTGCTAATCATAACAGTTGTCTGAACAGATTAATTTGCATATAGCATGACAAGTTATAATGATAGTTCTGACAAGTGCATTTCATTGTACCGTTTAATGATATTGTAATGCAAACAGTCACTTTTTTGAAATGTTGATTGTTGTGGCTAAGTGTCTAAATATGATATAGAATCGTCTTGTTACATTAAAATTGTAGTCAAATCGTGAATAAAATTTGAGCCAATCTGTAGAGTTATTTGAATAGTATTTTTCACAATTGTTTCCTACAATGACGCTTAACAATGTAGTTAAAAGAAATGTGCCTTCAGGTTAAACTGCTACAGGTGTTTCATTTTGGTATCGAAACATTTAATAGCAAGTGCATTTGCTAATAATATACTTTAGCATAAATTACTTTTTATATTGAAGGTCAATAATTGTATAATTATTTAGATTGTGATTGTAAATGGCATAATTTGTTGTTTGAAACATATAAAATAACTCATGTTTCCGCGATGAGAATGCAACTAGCTATTCAAGTTTAAGAAAAGTCAACAACTGTGCTAAGTTCGTTCCAAGTAATTACAAAATATTTCTTTCGCTTCCCCTTTACAAGGACAGGCCAATTGTGTGCATATTATTTAACATTCATTAGTGCATATTAAGTCAGCAATTCTAAAAAATCTGTTTGCCTGTGCTTAAAATGATAAACATTTACTGCAATAAAGTAAGCGTCCTTCCTTATTGTTCCAAATTATCTGCCAATTTTCTGCTAGATTGACTGAACAACGTCGCACGAATCACCTTTTGGTATATTTGCTTTATTGATTAAAACATAGACGATATATCAAAACTGGATTTTTGTATGTAGAATGTGTTTTTAAAGAGGTGTCGGTATTTGATTCAGACATTTGTATGAATAATACATTTTTTGATCAACTTGAAAACTTACGCGTAACACTAAACAGGCAATGTTGAGTTACGATATTAAAATTAAATGTATATAAAATAAATAGACGAAGTGTGTATTTTATCTTGGAAATGCTCAGTTAAGGAAACATGTAAACAATATTTTGAAAGATCAATTGCGTTTTAAAAAATATGTTTTCCGTTACAGTTCCTTTAGTTTTAATGATAATGTTATTTTAGATATTTTTTCAGACAACTTTTATTGAGTTGAAAACACTTTGCTTATCAAGTAAAGGATTTAAAAGCTTTAAAGGATCTTTTGACGCAATTACCTTGCTGCTTATTTATAGAAACAATCTTGCTTATCTATTTATCTAGTGACAAATTTCTGGAGATATTCCCATTTAACTCCTATAATAACTAAGTACTTGAGATTTGCCTTCACAATATCTAGTCTAACACAAGTGTACTTGATTTTTTGGCACACTGATCTTGGACACAATTTAAACATAACGCTCCCTATTTTCCGAGGCAAAATGCATTTTCTAGTCATTTGAAATAATGTACACAGAATATGCACTCTGTGTTGCTTCAATGCAGTATGGTTTAACTATTTTAGTGCCAGTTTTAAAATAGTTTTTATCATTCATTAGCAATAATGAACATTAATTGTGTTTTGGTCATTGTTTTATGTATGCTATTGTTTAGGCAGCCACATGCATTGAGCAATCATTGAGCAATTATTGCAGTACGTTTCGAAGGATCAATCTTTTTAAAATTGTATAATTTTGTAACTGTTCAAATAAGATCATTTTTCTGCATAGAATATTTGATTAACTTTAATCGTCTTTTATACTTGTATTCATGCTTGAATGCTTGAATATACATTTTTGTAGTGTTTGTATTAACATAACACTATCAACTGAATTATACTCGTACAATGAATAAAAATGTTAAACCTCTTTAAAATATAGCAATAAAAAAACTAAGACATACTCGTACCAAGTGTTTGCTAAATCTAAGAGTGCCTGTACATGATTTAATTGCAGTTTAACTCATAATTTGGTGTTGATGCAGCAAATGAATTTAGTATTGCTATTCACGGCTTTCTCTAGATTCTTTAGTGCATATTTTATGTGATACTGAATATGTTACAAACCATTCGTAAAGAAGTGATCTGCTGACAGGAATTTTGATTAAAACGACATATTTAATCTAATCAATATATAATTTATATCATAATTAAGAATGAAAGAAATGGCTGAAAAGCTTGCTAGAAAAATGACTATATTAACAAAGAAACTTTTATCAAGATGAATGTAATGATACATTATATGCGGAAGCTAAATAAAAGCATTTAAAGGATCTCCACTCAGATCCAAAAGCTTAAAAAATAAAATTTTGACTTCTTACTTGAACTTGGCTGCTTATGTTTTGGAAGATATGCAAACGATAATGAAAGATTATTCATTTACTCAGGTATAAATTGTGTTTTTGTACTATTCTTAGTTTGACCATTTTGACTATGTTTCCTTAACTGATCATCATTCCGAAAAAACGGAGTGGGCAAATGATCTTAAAATTTGCCCACGTTATTAGTAAAGACCTACTCAAATGGTACACAAAATCGGAAAATTATTTTTAGTCCCGTTTTGTCAAAAAATGGCACTTTAAAGAAGACAATAACATACATATAGAATATTATCTACGGAAATTGACAACTCTTACATTTTTGTAATGTTTTAAATCGCATCAAAACTGTAAAGGCCAAATGACGAGTTTCCCGCTTTACTAAATGAGGATGACCAAGCTTCATGTATTCATGTATTAATACAAAAATTAAGTTTCATATATTCCCTTTCCAATATTAAACATTTGCCTGTGTTGTTGTTAATTTTCAAATCTTTGTTTCGATGTCACAATAAATTATCACTAAATGTTCTACCGAATAATCAAAAGCGATAGTGACTCATAATGTGATGACATGTTTACACACATTGCATGGAACGCAGTTATTGCGTCATATAATTATGCAAAACATGTAGTGATAATTAGAATATCATATCGATTAACTGCAAATGAGAACATTTCAAGATTTCATCACTATAAAAAGGTCAATATTTACACAATTAAACTGAATATTACTGAAATTGCACTATGGCTCAATATCTATTTGCTTTGTTCATATTTTACCGCACAAATTGTAGACTCCATATCTTATCTATAGGGGTAGTGCATCTATACTTGGCATGGCTTTTTCGATTTCTTCGATGATGCGAATCTTGCCTTCGTGGCTTTCCATATTGCATTTATCAAACATGTTGAATAAAAGACAAAACTAGTATATACTCTATTAATGAAATATTCATGGACTTATCTTCTAATGATCGGTGGTTTATGATTTTGCGATAAAAGTCTGCATGACTTTACTGCAAATATACAATAGGTAGAAATAAAGAGTCCCTAAAGAACGCATAAAAGGACAAAAGTGAAAATGTTGCAGGCTCGGTTTCATTGCGCCTGTTCATGAACGGTAATGGATAGTGCAAACTACCGTCCATGCCCCCTAGAACCGACCTAGGCAGTATTCAACATTTAACATGAACTGGTTAAATTTGGAATATTTAAACATCCGCAGATATGTTCATATGACGGTTATCATGGAACTTTCAATGTAACACGTTAGTGCCATTCCATGAAAAGCGGCATATGGTCCCCAGGTAAAACAAATGCGTTAGCCCTAAACAGGAAAACATTGGGCGGAACTAAACAAGATGGAATTTTGAAAGGGGATCAGAAAATATGAAGCCTGCATATCACAGATAAAATACGTCAAAAACAAATTTAAAAAGCAGGCCGCATATACTAAGGGTAATTCAACAGTATTACAGTGAGGAATACTGGAGCCACGCAACGAAAAAAACTTGATGGCAAAATGGCATCTAATCTAATGTCACGAGTGGCTAGACCTAATAACAAGAGTAAATAGTGTTCTACTGATGTTCATATTCCTCAGGGACACACTCCTTTTAGATTTTTTTTTCTCATTTATTAATAGATTTGACTTCGATGTTTTCATATAGATTAAGCCTGATGCAATTGAATTTGTTCTTTTGTTTACACTGAGTTATTTAGGATAATTAAACGAAACAAAATGTGTAACCATTGAAACAATACAGAGGAACATGTCATAATATGATAGATTTGATTTGACTTCTTAATGATGACTTTGTTTTCATATCCGACATAGAACGACACGAGCGTATCACGTTGAAGGTCTCTTGCACACCGTCTTATAAAGATATCCGATTCAAAATCAAACCTTTTTCATATTCTAATGTTTAATTCTGCTTATGCTGGTGGACGTTGGTTTTTAATTACCACCACCGTATATGAACAGGCTTAATGGAGCCTTTAAACTGTAAGGCATTGTTTTTATAGTCATCACATTTTTCTGTATATCTTAGTACTTTAATTTGAGTTTGCTAAATTATTTCGCTTTTAAATGATCTTTTTATATCAAATTAACAATAATCTAATAATGTACTTAGATGATAATTTGACCTAATTATTTAACAGATAGATCCCGTTAATGTCCATGACTGATTCGGGTTTATAAAATATATGTTATATTAAAATTTCGCCTCAAATTCCTTACGGGTACAGAATACTTTGCAACGACTCTGAAATTTTAAACTATCATTGGCCCACTAAGGCCAGATATGTAGGGGTGAGAAAAATGATCCCTACACTCTTTAGTGTACATTTCAATACCGTGACATGTCGATGTCTGATTCGTGGTAATAAAGAATTCTATTGGTGTTTGAATAGATTTGAAAAAATATATATACGCATATATAACTGATTACGACTGTGTTTGCTTTCAAATTAAAATCATATAATGCTTAATCTGTAAGAATTGTAATAAACCAGATTTCTGTAGAATAATTTGTGTACCTTTAGAATAAATATACGTTTGCAATTTTACTTTAATAAACAACTATATTGTAGTATGTACCACATTATCTTCATTACATACAAATATTTACTTAAACATACTCACATTAATGTAAGCAATACAGGTAAAAAATACACAACTTATCATAACATTATACTTTCTACATACAATAAGAAAGATTAAAAGTCAATAATAATGAAAATATATTGAGGGTTAATATACATGTACAATAGACTTTTAGTTCTAATGCAAATAGAAGAAAAATAAAAGAATGCTACAAGATAATTTTTAAACAAAATGTCATTAATTAAGAAAAAACAAACAATTTGCTTCATGTTCTTTTTTCTTATTTCTTATTGCTTTAAGATTACGTACAAATGTTCTTCTTTATTTCTCTGAAGTCATGAAAATGTCAACGTATGATGTAAATTACCGCTCAAGTGTTTTCGCGCGATTATGATTATTGACATTAACAGCGCGATAGTTTCATGAATGTGGGACGGTATCGTCTTTTACAACATGTCAGGGAATAGAGCATGTTTAATTTAATTACATCACTATTTTAGTTATCAATGTTAATCAATATAATCTTTTCAATTCTCTTTTCAGATGACGAACATGTCCTCCTGAGGTTAAACATGTCTGAGGCAATTTACAAATCAAGCGAACCTAAAAACGTAACAATTACATTGGATGAGATCAACTCCCTTGAGGTTACGTCTCTTTTCCCATTACTATTTTTCTACGCCACAATTTTGAGTGTGGGAGTTCTGGGAAATGCTCTGGTTTTCATTGTGTATTCGCTCCGCTACCGACGATCTCCAGCAAGAGTGTATATTCTATTCTTAGCAGCCATTGACTTTTGGATGTGCTTGTTCGGTTTACCGTACCACCTTTTAGACATGACACATCCATACACGTATACAAATGCGCCAGCATGCAAAGTTCTGACTTTTCTGATCGCAACCTTATTTCATATGTCAATATTTGGTCTAATAGTAATTGCAGTGGACAGATACCTTAAAATTTGCAGACCTTTGGGCAAGTTACAAATATCATACTTTGGAAAGAAGCGAGCGTGCGGAGCGGCAATCTAAGCTGCAATATTAATGTCATGGCCTAACATAATCTTATACGGACCAAGTGAAATGGAGAGCCCAGTAGGAAATATAACAGGTCACGCTTGCTTCTTCGAAACATCTTACCTGGAGACAAACTATCCATTTATATATACAATGTCTACTTTGTTCATTTGCATAGGATCAACGGTATTTCTTATTTTTGCGTATTCATTGATAGTTCGTAAAATTTGCACTCGATATAAATCAAGTAAATTTAAGTTGGTAGGAAAATCTGCTTTTGATGATACAACATTAACAGAGGAAGTGTGCTTTAAAAATGTTGACTCATTTCCGATGCAAAGGATAAATAAAGATATTTACGAAACCCGTTTTTCAAAATCTGCGGAAGAACTAAACCCTTGCTTAGAAAATACTTCTAAATGTGCAAGCATTAATAAATCCAACACGGAATTAGCAAACATAGATAGAAATGAAGACCGATTTGTGATATTAAACTCAAATGGTTCGCTAACGTTTGTTGGTGATTGTACTGGTCAATATGATAGTTCTAAGACAAGTTTACAAGACAGCAAAACAAGTTTTCAAGACAATAATGACAACACTGAACCCCTGCTTAAGGAAAATAGAAAAGAATTTCATACCATGAACCTAAATGCAAAAGGCAACACATGTGTTTTCGATCCGGGCACGACAGACAACAATATATCAAAAGGAAAGTTGTATCTCTCCGATAGCAATCGGGGTTTAAATAATAATTCATTAACAAAATGTCATGAAATGTCAATGCAATCTTTATATGATGCATCCTTTAATTCATCCGAATATTCTAACCGAAAGTCAAACCTATCTTCTGTGTCCGCTGTTGATTTAACAGGACTAATAAAAAAGTGGACGATATAGCCTACAAGTTCCAAGTGCGTTAACACCATTTAATAGTAGAATATCTTTAAGGCGGACTTCAGATATAACAGGCTCAAATTATAACAAAACTGTTCAGAAATGGCGGAATTACTCGGCTCTTGCACTGAAAAACGGGATGAATCCCACACACTTTGTGCAAGACGAAGGTTTAAGAATACACACAAGCTGCAATAGTGTAAATAATCTCTCGTCACAGGGTACATTCAAAGTAAAGAAAACCATTACCAGGCAGCATTCAAAAATTACTAAAATTATGTTGACCATAACAATCATATTTATTTTAAGTTATTCACCAGCTCTGATAGTGACAATATGGACAGCTGTACAGCCCGAATTTTGGGACATATTAGATGAAAAGGAAACTGTAATATGTGAATTCTTCTTGCGATTTTATATTGTGAACAATGTATGTAATCCGTTTATATACGGGTTTTGGGATAAACGATTTAAACGTGAGGTTATTTACACGCTGCGGAAGTTTATGACATCATTATCAGCAAAATTTTATTGTTGCGTTCCAAGGAAAACCGTAATAGAAAAATAGATACTCAAAGGTTATTTATTTAAAAAAAAATAAAACCCTGGATTAAAACTTAGATGGTTAGTGAAATGGGGAACTCGTACATTCTGAAAAATAAAGATCTCTATATAGTCAATAAAAATATTGAATGTAAATTTTTGTTTTGTTTTGAAGAAGTATATTACCCTATGCCAAAGAAAAGTCAAAATATTTCTTGTATCTTTCTATTGAAAATGGGTCAGAGTTAAATCGTTTACCGATATATGCACCGTGCGTAATCTCGAGTGCAAGTATTAGAGACCCGCATTCTATTTATCGCAAAGTCTCTGTCGGGAATAAAAATAGAGCATGTTTGTTGATTGGTTCATTTTTTCCGGGGTTTTTCAAAGGGCTTATGATAAAATGACATATATACATGATCGTACATTGGTTATTTTTTCCTTGGCGACAGGGAACGTGTTTTTTTTATTTTTCCCTATGCCATAAAAGACACACTCGGCCATTGCTGAAAATAATTGAACAGCTGATATTAAACCTTATATGGATGTTTAATCTTTCATGTGATGAATCTATCCAGAAATTCTACGGATGATCGGTTATTCTATTAAGGTTCCACCTCGTGCTTGAAATAAGGCAAGAAGGGGCATTTCAATCCGCCTTCACCAGTACCGTGGAAATTCTCCGTATGTGTCGCTGCAACGTAAGAGCCAACAAACACAATGCGTGATGTTAAATTCCACGACAAACAATTTTCCCTAGGGATACTTTTTAAAATAAATGAGCTGTAATTAACAGAATGTTTTTACATTAGTCACAATGAGTATCTCATTCAATTGTCAATCATTGTGATTAGTCACAACACCAAGTAAAATCACAAAGTGTTTATTATGTCATTATCCCATTTATTTTCCTGACAGCTAACAGAAACTATAGCAGAGACACGAAATCATAAACGAACTACCAATTGTTAAGATAAGCAATCCATTAAACAAATCCATTAAACATATTAAGTAGATGAATGAATAAATATTCAATATATTAAAATGCGTTATATAGATTAAGTGAGGACTCTAAACTGTTGCACAGGAACGAAGTGTATATATGTCCATTTATCAATCAAAATCATTTTTGTAGAATCAAATGCGAATGCATGGTCAAGGCCAGAAGAAAATATAAAAGAGTTGGAAACAAATTTATATTTTTGTTCTTTACATTTAGTACCTTATAAAGTCAGTTTCATGCAAAAACTAGATGCAATGTCCGCTACAGTGAACCGGTTATACATATCTTAATTTCATAGCAATGTAAATTGACCAAGTACATTTTCAAAAGTGCAAACTGTTTATTGTCAAATAAAGTGAATTTATTGCACGAATAAACAGAAGATGGTTCAGTCCTCGGCCGAGGCGAAATATCTCCCTGACAATTGATCCTTTCAAAGCAATGCATAGGCAAAGAAGCTTCATAAGAAAAAAATGTTTAAAACTTAAGTGTGATGATAAAGGAAGCAGAATTATCGTGTAATGCGCTAGAAAAGAACACATTCTTGATGTCAGATATCATTTCTGCCATGTTGAGTTATTTTATTAAAAATATGAATCCTTTGGCTTATTCCTTTAGACATTAACAATTGCAATATTACTATATTCTGAAGCCCAGTTTTGATGTGAAGTAGCAAAGTGTAAAGCTCTTACATACACTTTTACACGTATTAGAATTTACATGTAACAGAGTTCTCGAGATAGTTTTAAAGATGTCGTAGAAATTCGAAGATTCGAAGATTTTATTTGCTGACCCGTTTAGATATTTACAAACAATTTCGTTAAAAAAACTAATGTATTCAAGTAATCCATAAACATGTAGTTATTTGTACGACTATTTTGTAAAACGAGCTTTAGGGCTAAGTGTTCAATCATATGACTTCTTATACATGTAAAATACCTAATAGTTAAATAAATGCAATTATAATGGTTTAAACCCAAACTTAGTCAATTCTAAAAAATTTAAACTTATTAATTATATCAAATAAATATTATATGATAGCAGTGTTTACCGTGCTCTGTATTAGTTAGAAAAACTAAGCCTTTGTCGAAAACCTTAAGTGCAAATGTTAAGTAAAAGTCCAGTGAAACTTACTTAGATATATACAAAACAGTTTCAAGTAATTAACATGTATAGTTAAAGACATTAAAACAGAAGTTTGGAATTTATTCCATTTGGTGATAAAGAATCCAAGTAAAATATCTAGAAAGCCTCTTTTAAAAGTACAAGGATTATCAATAGGCATAAAAGAAAAATAATGAATGGTATGTATTTTGGTATGTTCAGAAAATTTTGTTGTTATTTCAAAAATTTAAAGAAATTCATAGCTTAAGTAAAATGTAATAATATATTTTATTTAAGGGGAAAGGAGCTCATTGTTTTTTCAGAGGATATCTCAATAACAATATGTTAAGACCCTATCTTTAATAAGTCACATTGATATATTTGTCCTTTTAGAGGTCGCCGGCGACCTTATTTAACTATAAGAGGAAGATTGTCTGCGTCATTTATTAACGCCACTGGACATAATTTATTTAAAGGGATGGATTAACATTGACTTTCATAAAATAAAATGGAATTTTGTGTGTCTACGAAAAAATATAAGACGTGTTTTTAGATAAAATGCCCTCTTCTTAAATAATATAATATTGATCAATTTTGATACAGAAAAAGTAGACGTGTTAGTTCATATAAATCAAATTAATGATTAAGAAATGTTTTAAAGCTAAAATTATAATTCTATTTTCAAAACTATAAGGAATTAGTTAACATCTGGCAGTATTGACACATTTTGTTTAACCCTTTACTTCATGGGCAAATTATGAAAAATTGCCGTTTTCATTAAAAGGCCTCCTGTTACAAGATCAAACCGCTATGAAACTATGAAAATTGCTTCAATACTGATAAAACCTGGCACAAATGTTGACTGGACCATAGCCTCTGTACCAGCATGCTCGTTCTTAAATTACCTGTCCCCATCGCAACGGGGGACGTCTCAAAATTGCCAAAAATCACTATTTTGCTTTTTTTCCCCATCAAAACTGATTTCAAAGTGCTGCAACTTTTCAGTGGATTGAGATTGGGTCATTTCTATTTATTTACTTATTTATCTATATATCTATTTAAATATACATCGGTCTTTATCTGTTTTAATATTTCAAGATCCAAAATGGTAAATGTTTACTTATCTCATACACAGCCTGTATTTGATGTCGATAAAACATTTACTGAAAATCGGTTGGATCATGACAGTTTCGACATTGACAACATCTAATGAAATTCCATCAATACAAGCGCATGTCTGCAAAGGCTATTATGTCTTATTGATAATCTGTTTGACTTGTTACTCAATTGTACGATGGCACGAAGGTGACATGTGTGTGTTTTTATTTATCTCGTGGCCACGAGATACTATGTCGTGGCCACGAGTTACTAAGTCGTGGCCACGAGATAGCTAAGTCGTGGCCACGAGATACTATGTCGTGGCCACGACTTAGTAACTCGTGGTCATGACTTAGTAACTCGTGGTCACGACATAGTATCTCGTGGCCACGAATTAGCTATCTCGTGGCCACGACTAAGTATCTTGTGGCCACGACATTGCTCCTCGCGGTCATGACTTAGTAACTCGTGGCCACGACAAAGTATCTCGTAGTCACGACTTAGCTTTATCGTGGCCACGACTTAGTAACTCGTGGCAACTTAGTATCTCGTGGCCACGACTTAGCTATCTCGTGGCCACGACTTAGTAACTCGTGGACACGACATAGTATCTCGTGGCCACGAGATAAATAAAAACACACACATGTCACCTTTGTGCCACCGTACAAGTGCACACTTGTAACTGGCATGCGTATGCAAGATTCGCAAGATGTTTTAAAGAGCTGTTCTTATAGTCTTGTTTTTATCATAATAAAAATGGATAAAATATTACTTTTCAATATATGTTATTTGTGTTATGAGCATACCATATCTCCCTTAATGGGGCCGTCTCTATGTACGATCAATGGTATTAGAGAAAGATGGGATATTCCTATTCTAAGATTATAGTTCTAAAATTTAGTGTTAAAAGTACTTATTAAAAGCGCCAAGACATTTATAATGTGGTCTTTTATTACAGAGTCGAAGGTGTTTCAATAAGCTTACAGCTTCCAACACAATCAAACTAAAATACATTTGAATAAACTATATAAATTATGCTGATTTGTTATCTAGGAAAGCCGTTTGAAGGATCAGCCGCTGATATTTGACCGGGAAATATGTTCAAATCGGCGATAAACTAAGTAGGAGGACAAAGAAAGAAACACATTCAGCGTTTGAAAATTTTAGACTGAATAATCAGACAAGTCAAAAAAATCATATTGTGATTGAAGAGCATTAAACATTATGTCATTTTATATGCTTTAAGAGTGTCTGAGTAGCCAATTATACTTGTATTTATTTTCCATTTAAGAATGATTCTCGTAAGTGACACACATAATACCACTTTGAGTAATTGAGTTATTAAGTGCAAATGTTAGGTAAAAGTCCAGTGAAACTTACTTAGATATATACAAAACAGTTTCAAGTAATTAACATGTATAGTTAAAGACATTAAAACAGAAGTTAGGAATTTATTCCATTTGGTGATAAAGAATCCAAGTAAAATATCTAGAAAGCCTCTTTTAAAAGTACAAGGATTATCAATAGGCATAAAAGAAAAATAATGAATGGTATGTATTTTGGTATGTTCAGAAAATTTTGTTGTTATTTCAAAAATTTAAAGAAATTCATAGCTTAACTAAAATGTAATAATATATTTTATTTAAGGGGAAAGGAGCTCATTGTTTTTTCAAAGGATATCTCAATAACAATATGTTAAGACCCTATCTTTAATAAGTCACATTGATATATTTGTCCTTTTAGAGGTCGCCGGCGACCTTATTTAACTATAAGAGGAAGATTGTCTGCGTCATTTATTAACGCCACTGGACATAATTAATTTAAAGAGATGGATAA